AAGGATACTTGTAGACTTTCTAGTGTCTAGCTGAAACCCCCCCCCCCCCCCCCCGCCTTTTTACCTTTTTTTTTAAAAAAAGATAGAAATAACATTTATATAATTTTATATTTCTTTTAATACTCTATAACTTGTAATAACAAATCTTTCTCATTCTGTTAGCTTTTTCACTGGATTTTGAAGATCTTTCTTACCTTCTATAGGATTATTTGGAAGGAAAAAATATCCTGTATGATAATTGCTTTCTAGTCCGTTCCACAGCATTTTCCTATCATGAAACTTATATTCCAAGCAAGAATTAAAGATATAGGTCTGATCTCTCTCCCCTTCTCTCTCAAGGCAAAAAAAACTTATGAAGAAAAGCACCAAATACCACAATTTATCTAGCTTTGTTTCTCATTGTAAAGATTTCACATGTGTTGGTTCTGTTGAGGCCATCTCTTCTCCACAGAGCACCATGAATTCAGTACAGCTCTGCAGAGCCATGGGAATTGCCCCTACAGGTTTGTGCTGGATGAAGACTTAATGCCTTTGGGTTATGGAGCGCGCCTCTGTCGGCTTAGTCCTGCAGAGCCCCAGGTACACGCTGTCAGGTCACCTACACACAGAAGAGAGACTTTCAAAGCCAGATCCCATCTCACTCACCTGCGTCCCCAGATAGGCCTGTACCCCTCTCACCTATGATACTAACACTGTGCAAAGCCTATCTCCAAGGCCATTTCCCAACATTCAAGGAATACCCCCACCTACCCCTAAGTTGTGCACATGAAATTAAATGTTGCCTTCTTTAAGCTTAACCATTTCTGAAAATGTTTGCTGGAAGGTGGTCATTGGGTTATTAGGGCATGTTGTCTTTCCTCTGCTGAAAACAAGCAGCCCAAAATGGACATGGTGGGCTCCCTGGGGACCTGCAGTGAGATGGTGAATGGCAAGCAGTACAGTAAAAGTAAATATACACTTGATAGAAAGTAAAATCCTAGCAAATGGTGCGTGCACAGAATGCACTGTTAACAAGAGATGCCCTCTCACATAGTCTGGGATTTATACAGAAGTGGTGATATTTCTATAAATCAACTGGACATATTTCAGAGCTATTGTAAAATATCTATTATGTGTAATATTCCTCAGCATCATTAACTCAATTATTCACTAGATTTGGCACCTCTGTAGATTAGAAAACATAGCAAAAAATACCTCTAACTAGCCATTATTTTAAACAGTAAGAGCATATGTTTGTCCTGTTCATTGTGATGGACCAAAATTGATTCCTGAAGACAAGTGGATTATGCCAAGGCTGAATTCAGCATTCTGAAAATTATGGAGTACTTGAGCAGAATCACAGTCCTTACAAATATTTTATTTCTGAGGTCTTAATTAGACTAGCCATTAACACTCCCATCATATACTAGTATTCATATCTTAAAATCCATGCTCATCTTCTCTTTTTTGACTTTCTGTTGATGCATTTCAGAATTTGCCAGTATGTTTCTAGAACCTGTGGTGGCTTAGTGCATAAAAGGGAATGAAAATATGTGGAGATTTGACATTTATGAAATATTTTCTTGTTGAAAATAGATTTGAACTTCAGATTTTATATCATTATACTTCAAATATCCAAAAGAGATAATTAAAAGCGTCAGGACCTTATTATGAAATTGATCTTAGTCTACAGTAGCCAGCATTTACAGAAGACCCACACACTTCTGCAAGTCATCCATGAAGCCTCATTCTTTAAGCAACTGCCAGTTTTTTAAAAGGGCATCAAGTTGCCCAAAATACACAAGAGCAATGTGAATGTAATGCTTAATCATTTGCATATTCAGAAATCAATCTTGTTTCCCTCGGACAGCTTTAGTAGCAAACAGCAGTGTTAACATAATGAGGTTTGAAGGTTAATTCTTTGCTTGCTCATGTAGCAGCAGATCACAGTTCTTTATTGTCGAGCTGTGTAATGAATACCACCACTGCTCTGCTCTGCATCTCCACTGCTGTGCTCATGGGCAGCTGGGGGCAGTTTGGGCCTCATTTGGAGAACTGCTTGTCTTGGCATACATGAACCTTACTTATACAAGGGACAGAAGCTGCTTTATAGCTCCAAATTCAAGGGAAACCTTAGGTTGGAGAGTTTGGCTGTTATCTGGGTTCAGGCAGAAAGCCACTGTTCACATACCCGCCGACTCCCGGTGCTGGGTCACTTCATATCCCAGAGAGTGTGAGATAGCCCTAATTACTGGTTCTGGCTCAACAGCATGCATATTTTCTAGTGCTAATCATGCCTGTATTTCATAGAATCATAGAATAATTAGGGTTGGAAAGGACCTTAAGATCATCTAGTTCCAACCCCCTGCCATGGGCAGGGACACCTTACGTTAAACCATATCACCCAAGGCTCTGTCCAACCTGGTCTTGAACACTGCCAGGGATGGAACATTCACAACCTCCCTGGGCAACCTATTCCAGTGCCTCACCACCCTAACAGGAAAGAATTTCCTCTTATATCCAATCTAAACTTCCTCTATTTAAGTTTTAACCCGTTACCCCTTGTCCTGTCACTACAGTCGCTAATGAAGAGTCCCTCCCCAGCATCCCTATAGGCCCCCTTCAGATACTGGAAGGCTGCTATGAGGTCTCCACACAGCCTTCTCTTCTCCAGGCTGAACAGCCCCAACTTCCTCAGCCTGTCTTCATACGGGAGGTGCTTCAGTCCCCTGATCATCCTCGTGGCCCTTCTCTGGACTTGTTCCAACAGTTCCATGTCCTTTTTATGTTGAGGACACCAGAACTGCACACAATACTCCAGGTGAGGTCTCCTGAGAGCAGAGTAGAGGGGCAGGATCACCTCCTTCGTCCTGCTGGTCACGCTCCTTTGGATGCAGCCCAAGATACAGTTGGCTTTCTGGGCTGCAAGCGCACACTGCTGGCTCATGTTCATTTTCTCATCGACCAACACCCCCAAGTCCTTCTCCACGGGGCTGCTCTGAATCTCTTCTCTGCCCAACCTGTAGCTGTGCCTGGGATTGCTCCGACCCAGGTGTAGGACCCTGCACTTGGCATGGTTAAACTTCATGAGGTTGGCATCAGCCCACCTCACAAGTGTGTCAAGGTCCCTCTGGATGGCATTCCTTCCCTCCAGGGTATCAACCGAACCACACAGCTTGGTGTCATCGGCAAACTTGCTGAGGGCGCACTCAATCCCACTGTCCCCATCAGCGACGAAGATGTTGAACAAGACGGTTCCCAACACCGATCCCTGAGGAACACCACTCGTTACTGGTCTCCAGCTGGACATTGAGCCACTGACCACAACTCTTTGTGTGTGGCCATCCAGCCAGTTCTTTATCCACCGAGTGGTCCTCGAATTGTTTCAGAACAATTCGTTGTCAACTCGTTCAGATCTAAGCAATCTAAAGGACTATTTCATAGAAAGGCAAGGAAGCAAAACCATATTCAGGCTCTTCTTTCTTAAGTAAGTTTTTATTGGGCCTGTTCTCATCTCACCTATGCTGGTATAACTGAGACACAATTGCATTTTCAGGAGAGTTACAGCAGAGTAAACCCAGTGAGGAAAATGGAAAAATTCTTCCCCCTGCCAATTTGCTATTTATTTACTGTGCTGCTAGTTATGTAGTTGAAGATTATGCACCTCTTAACTATTTGAGTTATATATATAAGCCCCCCCAGTGCTCTCTCACTTTTCATTAAGGGCTATGCACAGGGCTATCACTGAACATCTGCTGGCCTTGATCCAGTCTTGGAAGACTCCCACTGCCATATAACCTAACTTCTGAAACTTGCAGCTGCATAAAATAGTAACTGGTAAAAAGCAGTGGCGTGATCCTCTGACATGAAGCAAGCTAAGTGAGAGCTGCAGATAATGTACAGAAACGGATGAAAGAAAGATACACGCTGGTATTTTTTTTCTTTCATCTCTGAACATGGCCGTTAGTTACAGAGGCAGAAAGCTGGGACTGGTGCTGGGAGTAAGGCACATCAAGTCTCAAGCTTGCTCACAGGATAGACTCAGTTCATCTTGAAGTATTTTTCTGTTACTTTTTTTTTTTTGTTTATCTTGGTAATATGGTTTGTCTTAAAATAGCGACTTCTACCTGTGTCATGGAATTCAAGTTTTATGACAGCTGAAGGATGTAGACTTTTTTACAAACATCATCTTTAATGAATGTTTATGATTTTGTTGAGTCTTTTTTCTGAGCTGAAAACAATCAATCATAAAAATAAAGTGTATGTGCATGCAGACAAATGTGCATGTACACAGCCTGAGGGAAACGGTCCCCTCACACATTATTGTTGGGAGATGGCATAGCTGTTCACAAATGGCAACATCACTCTCCCTTCCTCCTCCAAGGAGAATTTATAGAACCTTTCTCTTTGCACTCACAAAGGTGACCTACACCACAGCACAGGGAAAACATACGCTTGAAACACTTTCAAAGGCTTCTTCTACCTGTCCTTTTTTCCCCCATGTTCTTCAGCCTATAAAGCCAACTGGCTGCAGTTCCCGTGTTGAGGCTGTCATTGAAACATTAAAGCTTGTAAAAGTAAATCAAGTGAACTGCTCTATATTTCACAACATCAGGAATTTAAGGCAAGGTATTTTACAACCCCAGCTGTTAAATATAACAATTTCTACATTTTATTAAATACATGTATTTTTTAAATGCAACAATTTCTACAATTTATACATGGGGCATACAGCATAGTTACATCAGTTGAAAGCCTGTACTCTTAGCTGTCTATGAGATACAGCTTTCTGCCTAGTATTAACAGCTTTAAAATTGTAAAAATTCTGCATTGCAGAAGCAAATATGATTCTCATAAACTAGAGGCTGAGTGACCCTCTGAAGCCAGTTCATATGGGAGGGATGGTTGTGCAGCATTAGGAGTGCACCAGCTCACTGCAGAGATCAAAGCATTCATATCACAAAATACTGATAGACGGCCATAGAGGTACCATTTCTTAAATCCACTGATGGGTGACATACCTTGCTTAATCCTGATGTCCTCATGGTCTTTGTTTTGTTCCTCTACAGGCTTTTGTATCAGGGACAGCCAGCAGTTTTTGGAGACACAAGGCTGGTTGTTGCAAGCTATCACAAGATTTGAAACGGGTTTCCAAATAACTATGGCAAACAAAACTGTGAATGATTTGTCAGTGCAAAGTTAATCATCTCTATCTCTTGCATTTATTGTGTGCTCATCCCAGGGTTATCTAAGTTTCCATACCTGCTCTTGGAAATAATAAACCATTTTATTATTGTCTTTATCTTTTCTTCTTTCTCCTCTTCCAGCAGGCTTTCAAAAACAAAAATCAGTTTCCCTTGAAAATATAGCACCCTTTTCCTAACCCCATTGAAATCGATACAGGTTTTGTCACTAGCTTCATAGACAGCAGGCTCGTGCTTATTTATGCAACATTCTGAAGCTCACAAAGAACGTGGTGATTCTGCAAAGACTGAAAGTGCTGAAAGTGAAATAGTAACATTCATCTATATTTCAAACCACCTTCAAAACCCTCCTGGATATGAAATAAAACACAACCCAAACCATCTTACTTTGAGTGGTCCTACTTAAGTATTGAGCAAACTTTATAATAATGGTAATAAATTGGTGCTTGAGGCAGTTTCAGCTATATTACATATTCTCTATATACTATAGATATGGATGTATTCACCCTCTATATTGTATATGTATGTGTGTATTTACGTATAGCACACATACATATATGTTTTATGTATGCATAGATGATGATACTAACTTTTCTAAGTTTTACTTTCCCTCCCATAGCTGAAACTGCTGGTTACTAACAAACATCCACATCATATTCTATGTATGAAGGATATAATTTATTTGTAAACTCAGGATGTTCTTGTTTTATAGAGTTGCTTGTATTTTATAATTTATTTACACATCATGGTTGGAAATGCTTATCTAAGTGCTATGCATTGAAGTGTATGTTTGCTAAATCCATTTCATTCTGTTTGTGGCCACGTTCTTTCTCATTATGACAGTGGTATAAAATAGGGCTAAGGAGGAGACAAACTGATGGATATAGAACTAATGCTGGTCCCACCAGAAATTCCAGAAGAGGATGTATCAGTAGTAGATATATATATATATTTTATCAACTAAATTTTATGGGGGGGGGGGGGGCTGGGGGGGGGGCTGGGGGGGGGGGGGGAAAGAACAGCATGAGGACAAGTTCAAAATGTGGAAAGTCACAGCCATGTCCAAGTTGGTCAACAAATGCATTGAGCCTTTTGCCATTAAAATTGTAAAGTTTATTGTTTGCTGGCTAAAAAATATCCTTTTTTGTGGTATCTGAGGTGTGAAACATTGTCAAAAATATGATGTCTGGAAAAAAAATCAAACTATAGTGGCATTAAATGTTTACTTTTATCTTACCAATATATCTGCCTCTTCCTCCTGACTGTTTTACTTTGGATGAAAGCATTTATGAAGTGGCAGAGAAGAAAGTGCTTTTGACCCACAAGAGGATGTGCTATTATAATAGTGAGAGTGAGCAAGATGAAACCTGAAAATAAAACAACCAAAGGGTTCTCCCAAGCAAGTATTGCTGAGAAGCAAATTCACCAGAAAACAGTAACAAACTGCAGGGTTTGATAGCAGTGACAGAAATATTAACCCAAGCATAGCACCATTAATTTCTCCCCTGCTGCTGTTCGGAAACAAAAAGAGAACAATCTCAGGACCAGAATTGGTTAGGCTTTTACATAAACTGGTTATGCGTACGTGCCTCCCCAGATTAGCAGGGATTTCTCTATCTGCATCCATAAGCAAGAGAAAAATCTGAGAGTAAATGATAAAAATGTGTATGTAGGTATAATTTTTTGTCATCTCTAGCAATTATGTCACCATGGGTGTAAACCACAATGTAAGAGAGATAAAACAAGTTCGTGGCCATTACTGAAGACATGCTTCTCTCTGAGAGGATACGGTGGCATGTTCAGCTGACCTCTGAGCTTCTGCTAAGATGTGCATAATATTTGCTTGCCTTTTGCTCACATTTGCGGTATTCCCCGCTGATAATTAAGAGAACATCTTACATGGAGAGCAAGATATGAACTAGCTCTCTGGGAAGACCTCAAATGCCCTTTGACACTTGGGTATGCCCTGATAAGGACTCTGTGCTCTTCCCATTGGAAGAAAACAACAAATCCTATTTCTTGTGGGAAGAGAAAAAAGGAAGCTATTTAAAACCTCCTTTAAGACACATCGTATGCTGGCAGGTGATTCCCTCACATTCCCAACTTTAGGAGGGACATATTAACATGCTAGGCATCTAAATATTTGGTAGGCTGTTTGGTGAGCATTTAAAACCATCCTTTCTTCTATCTATCTTGTTATTACACCAGTTCAGTGACAGAGCTAGCAGTCACAGTGCAGGTGATGCAGTCATCTATGGTGACCAGCTCTTCCAAATGAAAAAATATCAAGGTGGCTGCAGAGGCTAAGGCTGGCACTAAATGTGGTGGAGGGGAAGAGGAAGCTTCTCCTCATTTCTCCCCTCTTAGCAGCAAACCCTGTGACTCCAGTACTACCTTAGCTCTTTCTCCTGGGCTAGTGAAATTGCATGCTGGTGCTTCTCCACAGTAACTGTAAATGAAGATAAACAGCCATTCCTTTTCTCTTTGGGCTGTTCAGAATAGCTCTGATTTGCTCTAAAGAGCTAAAAGGCTTATTGCCTATTTTTGAGGTAATTTGTCTTCATTGCTGTTATCATGCAGCCACATCAGTATTAAAGAACCCAAAGTGCCTTACAGTGACAAAAACAGAGAAAAATGGGTTAGCAGAAGTCCGAGACTTTGTCTAAGGCAGAACTGATGGTGAGGAGCTCTCTTTGAGCTAAAAAAAAAAAACAACAAAAAGGAAAATCAGTTCCCTCTTGGTCAGTTCTGAAGACCTCAGTGCTACGCACCTTCACTTTGGGGAAAGACTGCCAGGAAAGGTTTTGAGCATGGAACGGGAACAGGAGCTCACACCTGGCAAAAAGGCTGCTGTCCTTACAAATCATGCTTAATATTGTTGGCACCTCTTGTGTGGCGCTAGCCATCACCAAGTCTTAACTCATCTGTAAAACCAATAACCTTCCAGGCTAAGTCAGGAGAAGGTTTAGTGTGGAAACCTGACAAGCCCAATATCCTTATGGGGTCCTGAACAAGCTCCTCAGCTACTGGAAAATCAGAAGGAGCGGAAATAGTTGCTAAAGCTGATTCCTATCCCACATCTACCTGCAAACCATTCCGGCTTCCGTGACCTCACCCTCACTTTGGCTGGCATCACTAGCTGCCTGGAAGCCACAGCGGAGGGCGGGGAGCAAGAGAATTCAGCTCCCAGTCTCCCAGATGGAAACAAAATTAATGTTTAGTTCCTTTAGAAAAAGCCCATCTTTGAGTGGATTTTACATTTTATGATATTAGTATTCTTGACAGTTGCCAATCTGGCAGTTTTGGAGGCTGACATCTGCTATTTGAACTCTGAACAATGCTATACTGGCTGTGACCACACAAACGCCCCACATTTCTCAAAAAGCACTTCAGAACCTCCATAACCAAGTGGGTAGCTTGGAGGTCCTATGTACTCTCCTTTCAGGAATAACTATGCCAAATACTGATCCAGAAAAAGCTCCAAGATGGGCAAAAGTGGTCCATCCCTAAAGGATGCTTGTCTAGGGGAAAGCCCTGCATCAATTTTCATTTACGTTTACATGTGTCTCTTCTGTGGACACTTACTGCACAGGTTTGGCACCCATTCTTTGCATCAGATTGGAGGTTTCATGCCAGTCAACTGGCAGCCAAATGTACGCAGCTGTGTGTGGCGCACATTCATATTTCCATTTCTATCTCCTAGAGAGCCAAGTGCAGCCAGACACATGGGTATGGTATGCAGGACTCAGGGCTTCCTGGGAAGGAAGTCTCACACCTCCAGTAGATCTTTGTTACTGACTTGAAAAGGTGCAGGGACTGTGCTTGTTCCTGTCTCATCTGTCCTCAACTTCATTCATTCTCTGAATGGCAAGAAACCAGGGAGATGGGAGAAAACTTGACATCTTTCTATATCTAGTTTGCCAAAAGATTAATTGCTCATTGTATAAATAAAGCAGGAGGTGAGGGAGAACACAAGCCACCCCACTCGCTGTCTGTGCTCTGCAGACTCTTCAGTGCTGGTATGGTTGGATTCTCTGTGCCATTCAGCAAACTGCCCCTTGGAGCTTGCTTGAAACAAGAGTGTCCAGCAGAGCTGAAGGAGTAGCAGTGCTTTTTACCTGCCTTGTATTTGAGTGCCTGTCCATGCATAGTGGCCCAGCTTGCTCCCATCTCTGTGTTTTAGCTGGATGCCCAGGGACACAACTACTAAGACAGTCATGACAGATGTGGGAAGATTCACAGGGTGAGCTGCCTGCTCCTAAACCATATTTGATGGAAACCTTGAGATACCTAGCAAGCAGCACCACAGGAGCCAACTTGTAAACATAATTTTCTCCTAATTTCTAATGGAAGAACAATGGAAGGCATGGAAATGATGTGACTAATGAGAAAGATAACAGTCCAGCTCCTCACTCAGCAGCTGGTGACTGCTGCTCATGCTGCTCCTAGGAGCTGGTGTAGCGGGACTCACGCCTGCTCTGAGTTTCCAGAAGCTCAAAGATCATTTCTGAAGGTTATTTGTAAAGCCATTAAGATGCTGTGAAATCAACAGGAAAGCTTCTGAACAGCCTCTAAGCCTCAGTGTTGCAGATTTCACACCCACCAGACTCCTTTCTGCTGCCAAGGCCAAAACATTGGGACCACCAACCTTGGCTTGACAATTAGCATTGCAGTGACATGAAATGGTCTGCAGAGTGGGTCAACCATAGGAGCAAACAACATGTGCATAGTAAATAAGCCCCTAAATAAATAAACCTAGCACCTAGCTTCACACCTGAAATCTCTGTTGGGGATGCAATTAGTGTGGGAGTACTGGAACACCGAAATACTTTCTAAGTGAAAATATTTGTTTGGGACTGGTTTTTCCACCCAGTAATATCACTTTGGCCCTTGTGACTCATTCTATCAAAAACTTATTTACAACCCCTCTAAATAATTA